TCCGTTCATTTTCGTATGCAATACAAGTGATTATTTTAGGAAAATATTTTTTAAATAATTTATTTTTCCACGAAACAAACGGAGCGTATGTGCGCAGACATTTTCCCGGCAAACAAATTATCAAATAGATGTACCAGATCAAGATATAATGGGTGTGGGGTGTGTCAAGTTCGAATGTACTTCATGTGGAAGGTATGCATCGATGGTACATTTTCGACATTTTTAGTAACGTTGAGCTCAGGCGACTTCGAGAGTAAATTTTCATTCGGATTAGGTTGAAACGAAAGGGGTATGTACACCCAAAACCGCGAACATCGTCGTGTATGTATGCAGTGGCTTTGGTCGGATCAAAAGGCCTTTTTTTTTTTTGTTAGCTAGGGTTGATGCGGGTGTATGTGGACTTGATAAAATTACTTCGTTAATTCCACATTTCCATAACCTTCGACGTTGAAACCGTGAAAAGCAATAGAAGTTAGTCGAATGCCTCGATAAATTTTCTTGATGATTTGATAGGAAAACTAACTGAGGTAAAAGAATTTCCCACGAACGATCACACGCTTTTTCCAAATTTTACCATGGCGGAAATACTAAGAAGATGCATATGGAGGTAGGTAGCAGGAGATCGAGTCATAATCGATGAATGGAGACAAAGATCTTGCATACACGCGTGCGTCCCTATACTCTCCGACGGTGTCCCTGACTATCATTCGATTTACCCGTCTTCTCCGAGGTACAACGTTACTTAAAGATGCGCGGCTTGGTCGGTGAAAGAAAATGTTTATTACATCCAAGGTACTGAGATCTCACGTACAATATTCATTGCGAAACCACCTTAATTAATTAGCTGCAATCTGGACAGAACTGCCGACCATGATCACCAAATTTCAACACATTTGATATGAATGTTTGTCTTGGAATGGTGAATTAGCTTGCTCAATAAATTCCAGATTGATGTCGACAGATTGCGTGCGTGGCATTATTTGGTTAGTGTTCTTGATCCGACATGAGCGGCTTTTACAAAATTTCAACTCCCTGTTGACAATCGGTTTTCTGTTTTCCTTAAGATGAAGACAATTGGTCAATCGATGAGGTTCTTTTCAATTTGACACGCCGTGCTTTTATTTTTCTTTAATGATTTGAAAAAGATATCAATGGAAAAATTGGGAAAAGAATAATTAGCTTTTCACATATTATTTCGTCCATCAATATACACACGCGAAAAGAAATGCTTTAGGTCATTAATTTTTCTCAGATTATCTCGGGAGCTAAAAAATATGACGGGTTTTATTTATCACAAATTTTATGATCCGAGAAACCCATTTTATCTCGTGTACTAAGAGCTTCTGATTGTTTGATTAAAGTTGGTAAAGAATCAAATTAAAGAACTAATTGAATTAATTGATGTCTGATCAACTAGGCATGACACTAAGCTTTAATCCTCTCAACAATTATACTCCATTTTGAAGACTTGCCCGGAACAATCGACTACGATATAGTACACGAAATAGACGGTCAAATTGTCAAGAAATTTTCCTTACAGTTTGAACCTTGAAATGAATAGATAGTTGAGTCTCAAATGATGTACACAATTTTTTTATCACTTGACGTAATTAGAACTCTAGGTACAGAGATACAACTCTATTTTTGTAGTGCACCCTGATCCAGTCCTTAAAGAGATATTCAAAAGTGCTAATATAGATATCCCCGAACTCCGAACTTGACCAACCTATAAAAATATTTTTGGGGTTGAACTTAAAATCAGTAAATGAAAGCTTTGATCTAAAGTAGGAGATCTAATTCCGACAAAAAAAAAACGAGTAGAAGATCTACTCACCGGTCAGCCTGTAAAAACATAGCACATTAACAATCAGTGAGTAACATCACATACGAGAAATTAAGAAATTTCAAGATGTCACATAAATGACACGTTACATAAGCTTTAGACCATGTTTCGAGTGAGTTTTACTTCTAATTTTGGGCTTCTTTAAATTTTTTGAAACCCATACTCTGACTTCTATTCGACTCGAAATACTCGAAACAATTCAAGATATTAAAAATTCGACATGTGAAAACTTGAAACAATTCAAGATACTCGAAACAACTCGAAACACACTATATTCATATCTTTTCGCAATTAAGCAATTTTTGGTATTTTCCAATTTTGATGGGAAAGATGCGAGAGGGAATTAGAAGTAGATGGAAAGGTGCTAGAAAAGTTAGGCGCTTTGATTTTTTGTTTTACGTTATTCCGAATATTTCTATATCAAGTAATTCATAATCTCTTAAAATTTCACATAATATTTCGTTATCGTCTCCTTTTAAGGTCGACTATAGTCTCTTTTTTTTCTAACTCGAGTCTTCATTTCCTAATCACATTTATTTTTTGTTAAAGCATTTGGAACCTTCATTCCATGTGACCAAATCATGTCAAACGACTACTTATGTTCTAAACGGTCTCTTGAACATTATACATACTTTATTTTTCACATCATTCATCCTAACTTTTACCATACGGTGAGAACATGCTCCATTTGTTTTAAGAAAAATGAATGATTTGAAAAATATTTTTCTAAATTTAATTGCTTATATCGCTTTAAATGATTAGTTAATGAAACAATGAAAAGTGTTTTCATTATCAATAGCAATTTATGTCTAAAGATTCCTATAGATGATGAAAATATTTTTCGTTAATTTATTTTTGTAAGAAATACAAGCGATCATTTTTAGAAAAAATGTCTTCCAAATTATTTATTTTCCACGAAATATTCTTTGATCGACTTAATTAGATGAAAAATCCCTGTGGTTTCTATTTTAATTCTCTATGATTGTTCAAGTTTCTGATTTAATTTAGTTCTCTATGATTCTTCGAGTTTCTGATTGAATCGTTCTAGGATATTGATCTAGCTATGTCATATCATCTGCTTAAAGCACATACCAGTAAGTATCGCTTGTACAAAGACGCTACTCATAATCATTTTCAAGAATCCCGCCAAAGAATTTCTCTTGAAATCTCATGACGAGTTTTCTCCGAAACTCATAAGACATAAGTATTCGCTTTTCCAAATGTATAATCAAATCGATTGTCCAAAATATGTGTCTCTTGTCTCGACTTATGCTATTTCTCAAAACTCAATTGTATGACTTAATGAGGTTTTAATGCCTCTACAACCGACACTCTAACGGTGTTTAGAATGCACCACCATTCTCTCATCGTCTAATGATGAGAAATGTACTAGCAAATAGAAGGAACCAAGCTATTAGGACGTATTTCTCATTATATGCCCTATTGTAAGGAGTTTGAGAGTGCAAAACTTCGGGAGAGAATATCTCATCGTTCAGACATCTTTACGGGGCTTTTTTTTTTATTCCGCATAACTTTTCGACATGAATCTCTCGGCAAAAAGAAATTACTAAGAAAACATGAGGAGTCAAGTTATTAGAATTCGTCACCCGTCATATGTCCTGTTGCAACTTGCAAGGAGTTCGAGAGTGCAAAATTTCGGGAGAGAATATCTCATCGCTCAAGCATGTTTTTTGCGAGCTTTTTTTTTTAATCCCCCATGCCTTTTCCACAGGAATTGTTAAAGTAATTAAATATTAAATCACGCATTCATCTAACAGTTTAAGCTTTTAGAACAGTTGGCAGTGACCCCACAAAATCTCACATGGTATCAGAGCTGAGGTCGGTTCAAATCTTTCCAAGCCCCAATTACCTCCCCAATTAAATATGTCCACGCTTAGCTTTAGGCAAAAAGATTAGACCAAGAGTGAGGGGGAGTGTTAAAGTAATTAAATATTAAATCACGCATTCATCTAACAGCTCGAGCTTTTTTAGAACAGCTGACAATGATCTCACGAAATCTCATAGGGATCTCTCTGTAAACGCGAAGGTACCGGAAAATAGGAGGAACCAAGCTGCAGAGAGCACGTCGCCATTCATCATAAAAATATTATTTTCCCATCACGGGGAGCGGGAAAAATAAATGACAAAAGAGGAGAAGATGTTACTTCAAAGAAGCAGAAGCCTATTAATTAGAGGGAAAAAACAAGAGGAGGAGGAAGAAGAAGGAGACAGAGAGAGAGAGAGAGAGAGGTCATCAAGAAAAAATCTCAAATCCCTAAAACATTCCAAAGGCAGGGGAGAGAGGGCAATTATTTATATCTCGCCCCCCTCGTCCGCCACAGCATACCCCATATGGATCGCTCCTCCCACCCACTCATTATTCACCCAATCATTCATTTCACACACCCTCTCTCTCTCTCGCTCTCCCCCTAAGAACAAGACTTTATATAAATTTCTTTTTTATATCTAGTCCTCCATTTTGACTCAAATTCCTTCTCTAGTCCCACCCTTCGTTGGAAAAATTAGTCCTCGCATGCCCGAGCAGACTTGATCGATAAAAGAAAGAAACCATTTACAGAACGGCGAGCGAGTTCTATCTTTTTATATACATCCAGATTTTGAAATTTCGAGTTTAGAGAAAACAACCGATAGCATCAGCCATTGGAGGAACCGAGTAAATAATTCCATTCTAAGAGCATGAATTGGGATAGATACCACGTAACCTGATAGTGACGGCCCGGTATGTATGTATAGTCCCCGAGAATTTTTTTCATATTTGTTATTTAGTCTTTTGGATGGACGTTTTTCGCCGTTTACCTGATCCGATCCGGAAAATTCAATGTGGTCGATATACGCACGAATGGAAAAAAAAATATCAATATTATTTCTTTTTTTCGGGACGGAAAACCGAAATTACCATATACTCACATAAAATTTGCACTTCAAAGACGAATTACTATATGGGAAGAGTACAGAAAATACAATTCCAAAGAACCCCACCTCTCTCTCTCTCTCTCTCTCTCTCTCTCTCTCTCTATTGCCCTTCCCATCCGGTTTTCTCCCGACCAGACCAGTCCCATCCTCACTCCTCCTTGTAATTCTTGTAACTCTCTCTCTCTCTCTCTCTCTCTCTCTCTAGAAAAAGAAAGCCTTTTTTTTTTTTTTTTTTTTTTGGTTTCGGTGCTTTGCTCTTCTTTGTCGTCTGTGTTGGTATCCCAAGTGTGGGCTTTAAATAACTGCATCGATCTGCAGGTATCTAAATCTCTCCATGCGCAATTCATTCCCTTGAAGAAGAACTCTCTCCGTCTCTGGATCTTCCCACGGCGGCGGCGACGGAGAGGACGGCGGCGGCGGCGGCGGCGGCGGCGGTCCACCATCAATCGGAAATGTCACTCGAAATGGCCTCCGAGCGCGTTTGCTACGTTCACTGCAACTTCTGCAACACCATCTTGGCGGTAACTCCACTCCCTCACTCCTTCTTCTCCTCCTTCTTCTCCTTCTTCTTCTTCTTCTTCTTCTCCTTCTTCTCCTTCTTGTTTCCGTGATTCGAGTTTCGGTAGCTGCATAAACGGCGGAATTCAAAGTGTTGTAGGGTACTCCAGTTTGAGAACAAAAGTGTACAGGATCGAGCTTGATTCTTTCCAACGACGTAACTGAAGACTTTCAAGAACCCTTTTCTCTTCCCAAGAGACCGCAAGTTTCAAGTGCTTCCCCAAAGAATTTCCAAATTTTATGTAGTGGACGGAAATCACTGCGAGACCAGTCAAATAAAACATGCATACTTTTGTGAATCAATGAAATTGATCTGTGTCTTAAGTCTTGAACCCCTCAACCTAGCTCGATCAACGTTTTCTCTGTAGTGATCTTGTTCTTGAGTGTGACAAGGCACAAAGAAGCCATTATTTTAAGAAAACCAATGTTTTTGGTTTTTTACCAAGCAAAGTAAAGAATGGGTTTCGTTTTTAGTAGTGAGGTTATAGGTTTTCAGCTAGACTAGATAGGTGTTAGGGTTCTTTCTTCTTCTTGATCTGATCAGGTCCATGGCAGTCTGTGCAAGAAGTCAGCATGAAGCCTTTTTTCTGTGATCCCTGGGACTTTTTACACGGATCTCATGCCTCAAGCTATAACTCTACTCTAGACCCAACATAAGTTCACGCCTCCTTCCAATTTCCTGAATGAAAAAAATTCATGACTCATCATCATCGATCGCCCATGTTCGTACATCAGCTCTCATCGGTCACTTAGTCATAACACATAATTTCATCAAACACTTTGCTCAACATTCTCTCTCTCTCTCTCTCTCTCTCTCTCTCTCTCTCTCTCTCTCTCTCTCTCTCTCTCTCTCTCTCTACTGTGAGGTGGGTGCTTCTGTTCACTCATGCTGAAGCCAACTGATGAAGAAGCATCATGGCACCAGCACTAAAGATATATACGCTTTAAAACCTTGACTAGTTTTTACCTAGTTTATTTATTCTTTTTTCAGAGGAAAAAATTTACATGAACCATACACATTCTCACTTTCATGATGATAACATTAGCTGTTGTCAAAAATGGGTCTTCTCATGGCCTTCTTTTGAATGAAGGAATCAAAGATCTGGGTGATCCTAGTCACTGCACAAAAGCCTGCAGGGAAGAAGCAGCAACACCCAACAATTATTTCATTTTTGAAAACAAAAACAAACATTTCCCCTTTTTATTTCTTTTTAGCACTTTATTCATGGGCCTTGTAGAGTTAATGGCAATAGACTTTACGATTTCCGGTTCTGGTCACGTCGCTGTCCATTTTGCCCGTCTTTTATGGTTCTTTGTTTTGGGGTTGTCAGAAGGTGCAACCAGAAAAAAAAGTGAGAGGCGCACTCAAATGTAAAGAAGGATATGCTGAGACAGAGAGAGAGACGGCCTTAAAATTTGTGAATTCCTTGTGGGTATTTACCAATGTGAGGCCTGAGTGCACCTGCTAAGAAGTTGCTTGCTGATGGGGTTTTAGTTTTTACTTGTAGGAAAAAAACAATCGACAAAGTCCCTCTCTCTCTGGGCATTTTGTGTGTGTGTGTGTGTGGGTGTGTGTGAATGTTGCTGTGTATGTGTGTGTAGTGTTGGATCTTTCTCTGGGTGTTATGACCGCTCGAATCATGTTTGTCATGTGGTGCTTCTGGAAAAGCTTCCGATAAGAAATGTGCAAAGCCTGTTTCTGTTCTTGATCACTCCGAAGATTCTGATGTTGTGTTTCCTAGCTTGTCATAGCTCCAACTGGTACGTGGAATGACCTAGACACAGCTACAAGTTCTCGAGTTTGGTCATCATCAAGAGTTCATCTTTGAGAAGACTATGCATTGTTATCCATCTGTGCGAGAGAGAGAGAGAGAGAGAGAGAGAGAGAGAGAGAGAGAGAGAGAGAGAGAGAGAGAGAGAGAGAGAGAGAGAGAGAGAGAGAGAGAGAGAGAGAGAGAGAGAGAGAGAGAGAGAGAGAATGTTTGATGAAACGGCAACCAGAAATTGGCACAAGACTCTTAATCTTGCAATTAAGTGACGCTGAAATGCTCTCCTTCTGTTTTCTATTTGGCCAAAAAATGAAACTGTTTTGAATCCCAAAAAACGAAAGAAAATAGACTGATGAGTCTTTTTGGCGCATGCAGGTGAGTGTTCCAAGCAGCAGTTTATACACAATAGTAACCGTGAGGTGTGGGCATTGTGGCAATCTGCTCTCTGTCAACATGGCTGGTTCTCTTCAGTCTGTCCCTCTTCCAGACAACCTCCAGGTAACCAATCTTAATTAACAAATCTATTATCTCCCATTAACCGTTCTTTAAAAAAAGACCCTCCTTTGAACTTCTTGACACATTCGTATAATTTTCAAGTAATGCTTGGTACATGGAGACAGGTCTTGGCGGATCACGAATAGGTTCTTCGACAAATGGGCCTATTCAGCATCCAATAAAGCTCTACTATGTCGCTTGAGTTACTAAATTCATAAACAGATCTCAGTATATCTAGCGTTTGTTTAATCAGAAGATAATAAATGGCTCATAGATCTTTATGCGACAACAAACTTATACATTAGCATCCATCATCTCTTCTGCCTGATGCTTTGGAATGATAATCATGAAATTAAGCATACTGAGTAGAGTCATATTTACTTGTGCTGGTCCCAATAGATGTCCTTTGTTTTCGGGGTATGTATATCTGAGAATACTCGCAGAAACAGCCGCTTAGCTCGGAAAACATGGCAAGGGGAAGTGGCTCGTCTTCTTCCTCCAAACCCAACAACAACACCAGCAACAAGTTCTCTTCCTTGGAACCCATAGAGCACGAGCCGCCTCGGGTGACTCCCATTCGCCGTGAGCCTCTCTCTCTCTCTCTCTCTCTCTCTCTCTCTCTCTCTCTCCATCCTTCTTTTTGAATGTGTGTGTATGCAGTACGCATGTATGTATATGTAAGCACAATTGTGAATATTTGCGTGTTGTATTCATGTGTTTATCGTGTTCTCTCGCAATAATGCATCAGGATAAGGCATGTACCTGGTATTATATAGCTGATGATTATGATAGTGGGAGTCTAGGAAAGACGGAGTGCTGTCAGAAAGCGCATGGCTGTAATAAACTCAAAAAAGTAAAATTTCATATACCCAAATTACTTTTGGTAGATTTCTATTGCATCAGGGAGATGCCATGCTTTTAGAGGGAAGGGGGAAAAGGAGGGGAAAAAAAGAAATAGATGATGAATAAAGCTGTTGTTCCGGCATCCTGATTAATTAATTTTTCTGGACTTGGTGAGGTTATTCATGAAAGGAGTAAGAAAGAGAGCAGTTCTCAGTGGCCGTAGAAATTCTGATTCCTCTAATACACTCTAGGCTTAATGTTGAAGAGACCAGATGGTGACACCACAATGCATGCATAAAAGAAAGGATCAGTATGGTTTTTCTGCATCTATGTTGCAGGTCTTGTGTCAATTTACAATTCAGCCCCTTCTCTCTCTCTCTCTCTCTCTCTCTCTCTCTCTCTCTCTCTCTCTCTCTCTCTCTCTCTCTCTCTCGTGGCTTGTCTTTGGCTTTTAGTCTGGTTGATATAAGTAAGTACATTTGGCAGTTCAGTGCCAATAACTTCGCATCCCAGAGAGCATGTTCTTGTCCAGTTTTCAACTTGAAAATTTCCCAAAAGGCAGTTTCATTTCCAAAAGACGCAACAAAAGATAAAGCTACGCCTTGAGAAAGTATGGGTTTGATAACCTTTTGACCATGTTTCTCTTATTTTTCTTAGCATTACTAAGATTGTTAAGAGTCGATAATCTACATGCATAGATCGAGATTCTTATGATAAGTGTTCAAATTCTTGGTGGTCATTAGCAAGGACAGAGCCTGAATTTGTTGTCGAGGAAGCAATGTGCAAACCAGAAGTACCTTAAAATATGCTGTCTTTGTCTCACAGTAATATGTTACAAAACAATTAACTATATACAAATTGAGTTATTGCTACACTCGTAGAATTGACCAATGACTAAATGAGGCAAGGAATAGACATTTTCTCCTTTCCCCCCCTCTTTGAGAAATACCCATGAAATTCCAAAACTCACTTTTGATAACATATCAAGGATATGATAAGTATCAAGTTGGCTCTCATAATGTCACGAACTTTGCATCAGAAAAATATTGTGGATAAAATTGAACAAGGAGAATTACACGTGATATAAAAATTCTTGTGCTCTTTTTACCCTTTGAGATTTAAGTATGCCAAAGAAGCTAAATGTTACACGAGAAAATTGAGCAAGTAGTGTTTCAAAGGCCTTAATTAGATGTGGTTTTTAATCTTCATGTTTACATCGTATATACAACCAAATGGAGAAAAAAGATGTTTTGTACAACGGTCTTAATTACCATTAGTGCAGTAGTCGGTGAAAACATGGAATTACAACTAAAACACGAAAAAGGATTAAGGCCACTTTGGGATAATAGTTTTCCACAGGCAGTGTTCATGAATATAATCCGTAATCTATTTCCCCTTTGTTGAAAAACAAAATTCGGAATTAAAATAATTTTGATAAATGTCCTTTAATCCATGTTTTGCTTGAGAAGGATGTCTTTAACAAGTGTTATATTTGCCTAACATAAAAAAAAAAACCAAGGAAAGAACTTATGGATGGTCTCGTTCTAACATGATCATATGCTCCTCCAGTCACAGTCGGTAATGTACATAAAACTTTACTCTTTTTTCTTTATCAAGGTACTTTGTTGTAACTGTGATTTGATTGAGTCTAATAGAATATTAATCTGAGTGATAAACTCCTCCCAACATATGATATAGTTGCGACTAATTATAACTCATAGATATTCGATAGATATTCATGTGACTTTTCGAGCATCAGTTTTGTTGAATGAGAGTTAGCAAAGCAAAATTAGTCTTAACAATTTGTTGACAATGATGCAGCACCAGAGAAAAGGCAACGAGTTCCTTCTGCATATAACAGGTTCATTAAGTAAGTATGATCCTTAGCTTATGATCAATCATTTGTAATAGAGGGTTTTGAAATTGATCGAACAGTATCTTTGCATTTTTTTCATTTCCTATTTTCACCTCCTCAGGGAAGAAATCCAAAGGATTAAAGCCAGTAATCCTGAAATAAGCCACAGGGAAGCCTTTAGTACAGCTGCCAAAAATGTAAGTCAATAATGTCATGATCAATTAGAGTGTACCTGGTAGCCTTAATTTCAGTACATAAAGAGCATCTTTCCTAATACCTATGTTGGGAAAAAGAAGGATAATCTTGGCTTTTAGTTGATTAGGGCATTATACTTCTAGCAAGTTCTTTTTCATGCTTGTCACATCTTTTTGTCCGGCAACATATCTCTAACATGTCTGTAACAGCAACATTCTGATATGACAGACCTATATAATCACTCTCTTCTTTTGTGTTTCGTGTCAACATATGTGAGTAAATCAATTACAAGGTCTACATATGCATCTATATAGGTCATATCCAACTGCCCATTGCGCAAAACCCTTCTTGTTAAGATATAATGATGTTGCCTATTCCATTTTCTTCTCCCTTCATTTATACCTTAAGAAGAAAATTAACAGTAAGCAGGAATCAAGAATTTCCACTTGTTTTGATGATGCTTGTCGATGTGTAAGAAATATCTAAAAAGCACTTACAAGAGTGTTTATGATGGACTTCAAAACTAATTTTGTCTAAAATACAATTGCGTATAGACTCCTTCTATGAAGGAACATGAGGAATGAGTCTTATGATATACGACATGGATTCACTTTAATGATTGATTTGATCCACCGGAATGAGTTTAGACAACATAATCTTTAGGGTTGCACAATTAGGAAAAGAGAAATGCTAGACATATTTACAAGATAAGGCGAGGAGCTGGTCTTTCTGACTATGACTATCTATTTTGACATCCTTAAGCCAATGTTTGTAAAGAATAGATGATCGAATATCCCAGCATGTACATTGTCATTCAATAAGAAAATTTTAGTGAAAGTACTTATATTGCTGCTACCATCACATTGGTATAGATTGATATCTTAATTAAAGTATATATTTTGGTAGAAGTTGTTAACATGTACTCTACTGTTAAAAGCTAGGGCTTAGAGAGCTAAAAATGGCACATTGGTTCGTCATAATTAATCTTATATACTACGGTGTTGGTGTATATGTAGTGGGCACATTTTCCTCACATTCACTTTGGGCTAAAGTTGGATGGGAACAAGCAAGGGAAGGTGGACCAAGCAATTGCAGGAGATCATCAAGGAACTCACAAATCCCATGGATTCTATTAAAGAATAGTAAAGATGAATTCTAATTCGTGTCTACGAGAGAGCTTGTTTTAATTTCTTGATTTGTCATTTCAAGAAGTCAATGAGGGCTTGATAAGAGCAAGAAGACACCGCCTCAATTAAAACCCTCAATGATATCATCATCCTGTATAATTTGCATTATGTTGCCCTCTCATCTTTTTCAAGGTCTTGCTCATGAATATGTGTATCAATTCTTGTAATTTATTTCGAAAAAGAAACACGGTATTTATGTATTTCGTTTGGCACATAGTACAATAATGTGCATTTTTTCTGTCTCGCAGACCTCTCTCCCATGAGAAAACATGTGAAATTTCGTACTTTTTATATACGATAACTTCTGCAATGGCGGAAGATTACCCCGTGAAGAAGACTATATCATTGAAACCTAATCACGCCAGCGTCTCTTTCTTTTTCTCTTCTTCCCTCCGTTTGTTCAACGACTAGTCTCGTCTGTTGTCGCTGCTACTATTAGTGTCACCACAACCTTCTCCTTGATGTTCCAACCTTCTTCAAACCTTTGCTGCGAAGTTGCTATTGACCTCAAGGGCATACGGTGTTGTAAGCCAGTCAGGATGATGGATAGCAAATCTGACCGGTGAGCTAAATTTTATGCCGTCGATCATGAGCCAAGTTCATCAATAGCGATAACGGTGAGCTCGCGCCGTTGAGCGTTGTTGACTATAAGTTCATTTTCAACAAACTCCACATGCGCCCACATAGAGAGAGATGGTTCAATTTAGGGCTTTTTCTCGTGTTGCATGTGAATAATCCAATGTACACATTTGTCAGAGTTACGTGTGAAGGGCTCTTGTAAATTTGGACAATCACTTTTGCCATAGTAGATTTAATCAATTCGATCAAGTGTCTTGTTGCCAAATTGGGTGCAATCATCCATGCAATTTTTTGGGTAATCAACCAGTATTTCAATGGATTACTAAGCGTTTTTCTTACTAGAATGCAAAAAGCTCTCATTTTTTTTTTTTGTTAAACAAGAAAATCTAAGCTTGGCCTTCTTTCATGTTTGGCTTGAGCTCTTGATCTAACATGGCCAAGAGATCCAATATTGACTTCTAGCTAGGTTTCATGACGCTTGTATGACATCAACATGCAACCACTCTCTCTCTCTCTCTCTCTCTCTCTCTCTCTCTCTCTCTCTCTCTCAACAGTTCTGGTTACTATCAGCTGTCATGCTCAGAAAAAGAAATCAATGACACCGAATTTGATGGCTCAGAAGAAAAACATTCAATGACAAGAGCTTCAGGATATATGTTGGAGGTATGACCTCTCTCTTCTCGTCACTTTTTTGTTTTGTTCTCTTTTTTGGTAATTACCACAGCACTTAGCTTGCTAGATACCTAGGGTCACTGTTGCACACAGAGCTTTGAAAATCTCAGGTTGGTCAAAAAAACACAAATGAATAAAGGATTTTTACTCTAACCCCGCTATTTAAGGGAAAACGTTCATCCACAAATGAACTTAATCACCCCTCTCTATTACAAATATCTGGAGAGCTCACTCTCCTGGTGTTGCTGACCTTGACTCAAATGAAAGCACTGCTTATTTGCACTGTGTCATGTTGGAGCCTTGGAGGTGAGAACAGTCCTCTGTCAAATTTCGACACAGCAACATCCTCAGAAAAAGTGAACTTGGACATAGCATCTCTCTCTCTCTCTCCTGCTGAAGAAGCCAGTGCGAGTCTCCCAAACATGGGGGGTTGAAAAGTTTTGATATTGACAAACGTTTTTTTCTTTTCAAGAACCAAAAAGACCACCACCCCCTTCTTCGCCAGTGGGATAATAATACACCCTAGATGTTGTGCATATATATCTGTACGTGAGTGTGTGTGATAGAGAGAGAGAGAGAGACAGAGAGAGAGAGAGAGAGAGAGGGAGAGCTCTAATTGTTTGGTGGTGGGTGGTGGGGAATAGCTAGAGAATCTGTAACGTCAAATCATGTAGTTGGTGTTTTGGCTTTTATATGATGCCTTTGTGTGCGGGTCCTGTCTGAAAAAGATGGGAGAGAGAGAGAGTGTGTGTTTTATAGCGAGGTGAGCTCTCAAGAAGATGAGGAACTATTAGAGAAATAAATGGGGGTGTGGAGATCCTCCCCCCTTCCTGTTTTGCAATGTCATATCACTGGCTGATCCCCACATGATAAAAAATGTAAAGAAAAGAAGAGAACGAAATTTTTCTGAGGGGAAGGTCAGAGAAGGTCAGGCCTCTCTGATTTAACCCTTTCTCGAAAACCCAACATCATAACATCCAGATCAAATCAAATCAAATCAAATCGATTTGGCCAATTGGGGTTCCACGTTCCAAAGAATAAAACAAGAAAGTAAAGAGAAAAAAAAGCCCTAACCCTAATCCTAACGTTGCCCCACCACCTTCCACACTTGTTTGTCACCATTATGTTCCCTCCCGCCCTTTTCTATTTATTGCTGTGGTTACAGCTGTCTGAAACACGTGTTTAAGGACTGTAATATGTTCCCCCACTTCTCCTTCTTCTTCATGACATTCCCTACTCCCCTTTTTGACGAGATCTAAAAGCATGTAATTACCCGATTTTTCGGATCGAATAATTTCGGACATATATGCACGTAAAACCATCTCATTCGTGCGCACTCAATAAAACCCTCATACGGAGGTGCAGATAGATTCCCAAGACTATTTAAAGATTGTTTCGACGAAGATTGTCATTTCCAAAATGACGACTACTTGTTAAAAACACCCTAATCTAACACCTCCCCGTGCATTTTTCAAACAAGAAATTGCAGTGAATATGCCTAATCATGAGCAACAGGCAGAGGGTAAAGAGAAAGAGCCATGATTTTGCATTCAAATATAAAATATGTCCATGGTCCACCAATCCAAATTCAATTTCTAGCTATTGTCATCTTTTATGAGTCGGAAGCCAGAATTGACCGAACATTCGAGTTCTATACATCTGCACAACTCACCCATGTTCATCGAACATGGCCATACAAAGCTTTGTTCATCGAACATGGCCATGCAAAGCTCAATCGATAAGTTCCACACGTGTGCCGCAGATCAATCAAGCTCGATTGATTTGACGTAGACATTCAGAGTATCGAATGTGGCCATGCACGCTTAGACAATGCGCTCCTAAAACACTTGTCACCTTTGAAAGACGACACGCTCTCTACACAGAAGGACTCTGAACATTCAATGCATTGCATTCGACCATTTTCATTCAATGAAGTTTTGATTTAATTTTATGGTGAATGAAGGATGGTTTTGTCAGTTGTCCTTCTTTGGTGCTAGAAAAGTCCATTGAAGTTGTTCTCCAATTCCTTTTGTGTTTTCTGAGGTACACAGTTTGATCCAAGTCGTGTAAGTGCGATGCATTGGCGAAGAAGAATGACTCTGTCCGTGCTAGCTTTAGACCTTTTCATGTTTTCTTTTTTCTTTTCGTGAATCGATGCAAGAGGGCGAATTTTCTTTTTCTTTTTCTGGAAGTTGCCGGATACGGGAGAATAACATTGACGTACGAGTTCTATCCAACGTTGCATGCGTGTTATTTTTTCTTAAGTATTGCTAACGAAGACACCAGTTAGACCATGCTTAGGGTCCGTTTGTTTGAAAAAAAAACCATCTCCAAGAAATTATTTTTTGACTTTCCAATGTTAGGACGACCGAAAACTAATCGATCTACAGAAAACGTTTTCCATGAAGCTGAAAACAATAGGCTTAGAAGGAAATCAGTTACCCTGAACCACTAAACAAATGAAAACTAAATATTTTCATAGAAAACATTTTCCTTTATCATGAAATTTTCAATGAACCAAACACTTTTTTTTTTGGTCGAAAAACAAACACACCCTTTATTTCATGGAAAACTCAAGATTTGGAAAACATTTTCCAAAAAATGAGTGGTTATATGCTTAGAAAAATTAATTAAAGGAAAATATTTTCATCATCGAACAATCATTTATGTCTAACTATTCGGAAAATGTGTTTTTCGAATAATTCTTTTCCAAGCAAAACAAACGGGCCCTTAAAAATGGAAATGTTTTCATAAGCAATGCACTGATCGTACATAACTTCGCACTGATCGTACATAACTTCGCGAGAAGGACGGTGCATTAGGAACGATAAAGCTTTCTTTATCGAGATTCTTAAACTCTCGAAATCATGTGATGACTGAAGAGTGAGTTTTCTCTGAGTACTTGAAATGTAAAAGAGATGGAATTTGTCACCGGGTCAGTGGGGAGGGGGGCTGTGGTCCTTGGCCGCAGATCGTACTACGATGCCCTGCCACAATCAACAAGGTCTCGTCACATCTTACACGAAAATGGAAAAATTAGAAGCAATGTGGTCCATCAATCCTCCCACCCCACCCCACCCCACCCCACCCCACCCCATACATGCAAAAAACCCAGTCAGTTCTGTTGATTCAATTATGTCCCTTGCATTATGCTTTGCAACAACGATCGTATTAGGTTATAGCTTGTGCAAAAATTGATGATAAAGAGGCAAAGGAAAGGTGGAAGAGCACACAGATTTTACCCAGCACCCACGACGAATATGAAATCCCAACCTCCCCTCCTGTGAGAAGAAGAAGCACATGATTTGGGTCAGTCAATGTAAGCGAAAAGATAAAAAGAGTGACCATCGTTTTGGAGTCCAACAAAAGCCCCCGCCTGAGAAGTCATCTAGTGGCTTTGCTCTCCTTTCTCTCTTTATTTGCACTTTCATTTTCTCGTCGATTTGGGAAAAGGGTCCCGGCAGATGAGAGAATGACTGGCATATCCCGTGGATGAACCCGTCACGTATAGGCTTTCTAGCCGACACTTCCAGCGCGTCAAGAGAATCCAAATCAGGGAAAAGCCGAAAAGTTCACCCGAAATTTTCGATTTTCAAGATCTCCATAGACAAGGTTCCCTGGAATTCAATCATGACCAGCCAGATGGAGAACGTACAAAAACAGAAAAGAAGATCACGAGCTTACCAACACAACACTATATTCCTACGCTTGCCGATGAATGATTTCAATATCTTTTTCACCAGTTTTACAATCCTAATGACAGGGTAACAACTCCCTCAAACCAAAAAAAAAAAATAATGTCAAAAGAATTATATCAGGTATCCCTCACATATGGACAAAAGATTTTAAAGAAGTGGTCTCTGATGCTATACTTCTAGTGCCTTCGACTGCTAACTATGTTACAACTGTCCTAGACACCTCCGAGCTTATAATCTCCCTTCGTCATCATTGATTGAGGAGAGACGGTAAGCTGAATGGAACAAAAGAATGATACCTGTTTGGGTTGACAACTGCAAACTCAAAGGTCAAAAATGGTGAAGGCATTACAAATGTGGTCAGCCTTCAGTCTATCAAGAATTTCACTTACTCTACTTGGGTTTCACACTTCTATCACTCTTCTGTAAAATAGTACATAAGCAGCGGAAGTCTTAATTTTCTCCAGGCTGATAGGGTACACGTGGCTATCATCAAAATCGTACCATCGATTGCCACCATGCTGCACCAGCAAGATAACATTGGTCAAAAGTTCCGAAGTGCAATAGTTTTGTATAGTGTCTCTAGTTTGGCCCTTCTAGAAATTGCCAGACCGAGCCCGATGACTCAAATTATATTTGCCAGAAACAATGAACTAATGAAGCAATTAATTCTTAAAATTGATCGCAAGGCTACATCAACAATTAAAAAGCCACCTACTGAAATCTCCTCTAATGGAGCTAAGTCTGTTGAGTTCTTTGCAAATCAATGTAATTCATCCAATGGGCTTCTAGATACGGAATTTCGTTAGTGATCCACAAAAACTTCACATCAGAAATTGATATCCATATTTGGCAGTAGATCACAAGCTGAAGCACTCAAATTTACTTAAGTGACAACTATGCATATATGGGTAGACACAAAAAGGATGTCGACAAATGACAATTAATTCTAACATTACCAGGTAAGAAGAACGCACAAAAATAAGTAAACAGATATATGATAAACTGCGTCGGAAAGTAGGAGATCATCAAGCAGAGAGCTTACATGGACAAATGCAGTATAATGACCACCTCCCATGCTGCCGTAGTGATTACTAACTGCATAAAGCATGTAGCGGCAAGATGACTGGCCATTCTTGCATGCAATGTAAGCCGATAAATCAAGATTGTCTATGGGGAAGTCAACATATGTCTCTAACTTGTTTTTCAGGAAACGGCTGTAGGAGAACCTCTTCAAATGAATTACTAAAATCTCTGGCAGTCTCCAAAGATCTAACTTTTTGCTAGCTTGGCGGTGCTCTTTGCACCTGGGACAGTACCTGTATTACAATAGCACTGCCCACAGTTAGAAAGAAGTACTGAACACGAAGAAAATAGGAGTTGATCTACGAATTAGACCATCAATATCAGAGAGATAAAACTATAGAGTCAGGAATTGTTTCCCAAAAATTACAGTGGCAACTGACCAAAAGAACAATGACAGTGGTTTCAGATTTTATGTAATACATGGTTGTTTCATATAAGTTTAAAGAGAAGCGCAAACCACAGGTATAGTGAGGACATTATTTTGAAAATGTGCTCCACGTGCTTGAGGATTGACAGAATAACAGAACTTAAAGCCGACATTAAAAGGTATCAGATTATAAGACCTAAATTTGAAGAGTACAGAGCATATGCTCATGCTGACAGAGATCTAAACAACTAGGAGATCACACCTATATAAGCAATTTAAATTCAGACATATATAGATCTAAATATATCTGTACATAGGTATTAATCGTTCCTAAAAGTTATGCCTGTCATCATAGTCATAACTAGTAATAAAGCAATACCTATTCCATCAATAATAGCAGTATTTAAATGATGTTCTGAATAACAAGCCAACAGATCCAGATTCTTCCTGATAAAAAAGGGATTGCAGAAAGCACGAATCACTGGACAAAACCTACGGACATTGTTTCAGTACGTAACAGTCAAAACTGTTGCATGTCAATATTTTGCGCAGCTTCTCAACCAAACTTCTAAAGGGAAAACAATGTTTTTAAGTCTGAGCACTGACCACATGTCATCTGGTCCAAGAGGCTCCTCTGTCAGGAAAGCTTCAAGGCACTTGTACAACGAGACAGTCTCTTGAGCTTTTTTCGAAAAGAATCCAGTCTTGAAAATCTCAGGCAAGGAGCTAAGAGGGCTTGTATCGTACTTTTTTATCCGTTTTTCGGGCCAACAAACAAGAACATTCAACCGCCTGGACATTTCAGCCTGCACCACCGGCTCACTCATCAGAATCTCACGATCCTTGGTGATTCCCTTATCATCAGTTAAATAAAGCTTCAGCTCAGAGTCCGAGGTAGAGTCGACTTTTTTCACATCAGAGTTATTGGACATTCCAGGACCTATAGTTGAGCTTGAGGCATCTTCAGGCCCGCTGCTCTCTGAGCAATCATTTTCATTCGCAACATCTTGACTAAGATTGCGAAACGGATTGAGTAGTCTCAGATAAAGGCTACAAATATTAGATCTGTCAGCCTGACCATTGAGCCTTGCAACAAGAGGAATACCAAAAGACTTACAACATCCCGAAAAATTCCCCTGAATGGACTGCCTGACACAACAAAGACAAATGAAAAGTTAGCAATTTTGAAACAGAACCCAGTTACTTTAAGTTCTCAAGTAATATCAGATCAAAGTTGGTGGGTTTCTGCGATACTTGGGATGTCTTCCTTCTCCCATGTGAAAAAATTTACTTATACAGATCACGTGAAAGAAAATTATGAAGACAATTCCTCTTTATATTTTGGTGAGAGGGATAAGGAAATCTAAGAGTATTCAAGGAAATATACACCCCTAAAAGTTTCAGAATGCAATACTTGGTCGAAAAATCCTGACTTACATGAGGGCCAAACTGTTCTTTGCTCGACCATGGCATACTAAACTAAAATAATTTGTTAAATGCCATCCTTTATAACCAAAAGGTTAGCAATCAGATGACTTAAAATAAAATAATTCAAGCATGATTTCAGTAACAAAAAAAACAGAAATCTAATATTAAAACACCTTTGTGGTGGTAAACTGTAAACTTACTCCTCCATCCTCTGATGCATGAACACAACCAAGGGGAGATCTTCAGAATCTTTAGATAACCGATAAGCAACTAGCCGATCTTCATCCCTAATCAATGTTAAAGAATCTGTAGGCTCCCCCAGATAACGGATGATATGGCCGTTGTATATCTGGAAAAGAAAAAGGCTCTCTGTAGATTACGAAGAATTCTAAGATTCAAACTGACATACACTCAGAGACAATTTCATACCTCAGCCAACAAAAGGGTCTCATCGTCCCCAAGAGAACAAGCAGCGCTTAGGGCCCGTTTAAGATCTTCGCATTTTCCAAACTTTGGCACGGTAATGGTATAAGGGGATAGCTTAGTGCTCCCATAAGTAGTTATGACTGTTAGAGTCATTGTCCGCATAGTTGTTGAAGGTAGTGGCAAGGAAAGGTACATAAATGGATCAAAAGTGACAGAAACCTTCTTGCAAACAGGACACACCAATGTTGATTTGTATTGACCCTGCAATTAGAAGACAAAGGCAAGACTTGTTAGTCAATCTGTATCACAAAAGAAGAAGAAGAAGAAGAAGTGTTCCCTCAAATGGGTAAAAGCAACAATTTCCCTGTAATGTTCACATCCTTCAAACGTATGACATAATATTGTCAATGAACTTTTGGGGCTGCCATCTGATGTGGTAGAATACACAATTCAAACTCCTGGAGTGCTGTCTTCATGGACATACATCTACATGAGTAACTATGTTTTTTAAACTGGGAAATCAAACCTTTCCTAAGACAACTATTCTCCAATGCCCAAAAGCACATTAATTAAGTTTGCTTAACCAGTGATCAAAACTATACAGTCAAGATCACTGAGACAAAGATTCCGGAGAACGCGGGAAGAGATACTCACTTGACACACATCAACTATTACAGAATCATTCCGTGCTAAATGATATCTCCAATACTCATCAGCAACATCTTCATCTGGTCGCCCATCTGCATCCTTGGCTTCTACATAAGGCTTGCATTTTACCCGATTGAGATCTTCGTGAAGTCCATCCAAGAGAAAAGCAAGGAGTTCCTTTCATGTAGAATTCATTCGATGATGTATAAGAAGTTCCATTTCAGAAACTTTTACCCAACCAGGGAAAGAAAAAACAAGCCAGTGAAATGACGTATCAACAAACCTGAGAATCATGCTGGTTATATCCACTAAATTGAGGAGCAAAACGAGCAAGTTTTGATTTGAACGTTCTTGGTGCAACTGGAGTTGCTCCAGGAGCCCATAATTTTCTTATCAAATCACCAAATGCTAAAGCAATCTCGCCCTAAAAAAACACAAGCTGATTAGTGTAATTATCCAAGAAATATCCACATTATGTGCAGTGATCACCACAAAACACAATGACTACATTTTTAGCATTAGGACTAGTCAAAATAAATGTCTGAAGAACATACATCCATGCCCAGCGGGTTTTCATGATTCATCTCCCTAGCATAATCCCCAAGGAAATAATCAACAAGCTTTGGTGTGTGCGCTAAGCACTGTAGGGAACTATTCATGAAGCAAGTATTTCCAAGATTCTGTAATCCTGTCAATCCCAAGGAACCAGCTTCTGAGCTTTGATAAGCGGATGACATATAAACTCGGGAAGAATCAGAGTTCCCATTGCATGTGCTTCCATTTATCGTAAGGGAATTTATTCCATTGCAATACTGCAAAGCCTTTTCATCTTTTTTCCCTTCTCTACATTTGATGGAATCTGATAAACCATAAATTTGCAACTCCAGGAGAACCTACAATGAAGCATGCCAGAAGTAAGATAAGCATGCAATGCACCTATATCTACTACCTTCGTCTCCCTTTTTCTTCTATGAAAACGATAATACAGTCAATTGCTCATTAAAATAGGAAAAGTCATTCTATTACACATTGCACCAATTTTCTCATACCTTCATTTTTGAAGAATTGGAAGTAAAGTTGAAACAGCAATACAAGTTCAACTAACAAATTAAAGCATGCTCTAAGATAAGCAACCAGTTACATCAAGCAGTAACACAATCAACCATGCTGTAAGAAAGATGTAAAGAATTACTTCAATTTACTGTTAGTCTATGTTGTTCAGATGACCACTTCAACTCCTGCATAAGCATTGCTGTGGCAATCCATTTGAACGAGAAAATCTTAAATTGAAGACCAGCATATACTAGGCTGCTTGTCTTTTGTCTATTTAAAACCTTATGACTGAAGATAAAGACCCTGCTTCTCTGCTTTTATCACCAATCTTTTATTTACTGACTCCAAATCTAGAATTATCCCATTAGTACAAACTCAAATTGTCCATCTGTCCGCGTCTCTTAAAGGGAGAAAGAGGAAGCACTGACCTCCTGATCTGACATTCTCGAACCGTCTTTTATAAACCTATTATTGTCATTCAAGAAAAACAGAGTTGTCTGACCAGAAAAGTCCCAAATGCGCATCTGCAGAACAGAAAATGTCTAAATCCATCTGCTTTTACCCGAAAGTGCATTTGATTCATCATAGAAAGTAAGATAATTACCAGTTCAATATCAACACTGAAGATCTTGCAGGCTCTTTTAAAAAGTTCAACTGCATTATCCTGCAGTAATGCACTGGACATTAAACAAGCCATCCAAATAAAATTCCTCCAGATGAGGTGGCATAACAAGCATTGCAACATAAGCAGTATCATACACAAGCTCTTCAACCAAAAGAAAGAAACTGAAAGCTGTACAAAATCCAAGTACCAATAGCCAACCCAAGAAATTGAATAAGTATAATAATCTGTTCCATAAGGTAAAAAATTTCCGGCTTTTACGCTTCTCCAATTCTTACAGAATTAGTTTCTTAAAACTAAACTAACTTGTCGAATTCCATCCTTTTCAAGATACAGGAAGGGCGCGCATGCACCCATTCATGCAAGAGGCACCCATTCAACATAGAGAGATCCAACATTCACCAGAGGCACCTATTCACACAAAGCATGCTTCATTGAGTCACATATCCTTTTTAATTAAACCATGGCCCTGCAAATCAGTAAAACCTCTTTGACCTTTTTGCTGATGATTATGCAAGTGAAAAAAATTTCAAGATCCGATGAGGACAGAAAAACAGCACTTGATCCCGCAGAATGACGAACGAATTTTCTTTTGGAGGGGCAAACAGCAGTACTGAGATACCTTTCTATATCTATAATTAAAAGTTCTACTGTTATTATTACTCAAGAGGACACTAACAACCGTTGAACAGAAACAAACATGTATGAATAAACCACATGTCTCTAGTAGGAAAAACTGTCTTTGGTACTGGATCATCTATGCAATGTGACTCAAATTCGCACAACCAATGTCAAGAAAGTTTGATGAGAAATAGCTAAACGTACAGTAGAACGAGCCTAGCATTCTACATCTGTCCTCCTAATAGATCTTGATCTTATTTTCAAGTAAAAGCTAGGTTCTAGATCAACCCCCCCTCTCCCCCAACACACACCAATATTATTTACAGCACACAATTCCCGAATTGTGATGACCAAAATCATTATCATTGAGTACAACCATAAGACAACTGAGCACCTGGAATCATAAAAAATAAAAAACAAAAAAATCAATGCAAAAGCTTGCTTATGAACTGAACTAACTTTTTTACTTATTCTAACAGCCAATGAGTTTGCCTCTCTTAGCACAGACAGCCTGAGCTGCAAAGGATAGACATCAGACATATCATCTTCAGCAGCCGAGAAGCTCCTACTCTCCTTTAGAGCAACTTTAGAGTCACTATGCCTGCACAAGAAGTGAAAGGAAGACAAACAGGGTCATTGGAGCCTCACACGTGTATGTATTAGGCTTGTTTGAATGACAAATATGAGACGCATTTTAGCCCTTTAAAGAGTATAGTCGGCAACAACAAAGAAAACATCATTAAATACTCAAAGCACCAAGATTTCTTCCTCACTTGTATGTCCAGCGTTCACTAAAAAAATGCATTATCAGTACTACCTACAGCTTCCAAGTACTAGTGACAACCTGAATGATATTGAAATCATCTAAAACAGCTACATATGACATTAACAAGCCGTGCCTTACACTCAGATTAACCCTAAACAATGTACATTGCTTACCACTTGAGTGCCTGAACCCACATTTCACCGGAGACCAACGCAAAGTCCCGGCCCGAAACGCCCACCTCGCCGTCCTCGCGATCCTGCGCGGGGCTCTCCTCCCTTCTCAAATTGAACGCGAGATCTGAACTGAAGATGTTGTTGATTATCTTCATCGGGCCCCCGTACGACGACGAAGCCGGCGACGCCGCGTACACGATCCCCCTCTTCTCATCGGGCTCGCCCGCCATCGAATCGTGCGCATCCTTCCACCACCTGCGGAGACAAACCCCCCCCCCCAACCCCGCGAATTCACATCCCAAAATCCATTCGATACGGACGCGCGCTCGAACCCCCAAATGCGGATCGCAAGCGAGGCACATTTCCCCCAGATCTCGGCGCGGCCGAACCCCGCCCGCAGCCGGCCGCCCGCCGCCGGGGCTCGGCCGGGGCTCGCCGGTCGAAGGGGAAACGAACGCGAGCAGAAAACGGGAACTGGAGGAGGGGGAGACTACCAACCTGTAGGGCACGAAGTAAACTCGCTGCTCGCCGTCCGGGTCCGCGAGCTGAGTCGACTCCGGCGAATCGTCGGCGGGCTTGTCCATCGGAGAATGTAGAGAGAGAGAGAGAGAGAAGGAGAGAGAGAGAGAGAGAAACAGAGAGACAGAGAGAGGAGGAAGAAGAAGAAGAGGATGGGAGATTCAGAAGCAGAGGAGAGAGTCGGAGAGAAATGGAAGAAGGTCTGGATCGTCGCCCGGTTCTTGAATTTCCGATTCGGTCCTCAGGTTTTCTGGTTTTTTCGATTCGTCACCCCAACCTCTTCTTCTTTTTCTGTTTTTAACCCCCAGCGGAAGCTCAACCGGAAAAAAAAAATAAAAGCAGCTCATCTGCGCGATTTTCAGTTTTTCAGTTTTTTTTTTTTGGAGTTGAACAAAATAATTAGATTTTTTTTGTCAAGAAAAGAATTAGATTGGGATGATGGTTAGATTGTTTCCCCCAAAACGAAAATCTTGAATACATTGTTATCGAACTTTCTTGACTGATTAAGTAAAAAGGTGTCGATGGAAGAAATTCATTTGAGATCGAGTTTAAACTATCTCTGTAATCGAGGTGGAACGAATATATTGACCGACAATTAAGGGTGCGTTTATTTCACGGAAAACATAATGTTTTTGAAAAATGTTTTCTGAAAAATTATTTTCTAGGAAAATAGTTAGTTTTTCTTTATTTGGTGATATGTGATTAAAAACGTTTCCTGGTGTTTTGATCTTATTTGGAAAATGATTTCATTCTCATGATTTTATCTTAACCAAAAAAATAATTTCGAATTTTTTAATATTTTTATTTTTAAAAATAAAAAAGAAAAAGAAAAAAAGAAAGAAGAGAATAAAATATTAAAAAAAGTCGAAGGAAGAAATTTCGAAAAGTGTTTTCACCTTCATAAATTAGGGAATTCACTTTCCTAATTTTATACATGAATGTTTTCCTTAATCGGAAAGTATTTTCAGTTGACTAATTATTTTTGATGATCCAAACAGGTGAAAGTCCGAAAAACTGATTCCCGAAAAATATTTTCCCTGAAACAAACGCATCCAAAGATATGCAAAAGACCAGTAGTAAGATGGTCCCGTGTATCATACATGGACTAACGTCCATAATTTATTGTAGAGGCCTATAATTCCCCAAAAAAAAATCTCAACTTTTGATTGAATCTCAATTCTGCCATGAATTTATCCCAAACTTTCACTTTAGTCCTAATTTTATCTATGCGTACTATAATTGCCTCTAGTTTCTTTAAAATTATAAATTTCAATACCAGTTAGAGGTTCATTATTTAGACTCACGTCTCATCAACACCTTCATTATTGTATGGAACAACAGCATGCTCTTGATATTGATAATCTTAAAAAGATCAACGACAATTTTTGGATGTGTGGGTAAATTTAAGATTAGAATGAAGTTTGGATTTTTTTTGGAACAAAAAGAAAGTTCAGGACATAATTAGGATTAGACTTAATTTGAGTTTTTTTTTAAATTAACCCCTAATATACATGATAATGCACAATCTATCTTTCGCAAATTCAAAATGATTTATAATCGATAATAGCTCGAACGAATTTAATGAAAATTTCCAACATCGGCCGCATCGATAAAAACCCCGACCTCCATCCTTCTTAAGTTCTTAATTGTCACGCGTTTAATAACAAAAAAAACAAGAACAATTCCGATCTTTCATTTTTTTTAAATTAACAACATTGTGCCGAGACGAATTAACATGACTTCCTCGAAAACAATTCTGTTTTCTAAGCTTAATCCTCAAGCGCCTTACATACTTATGATGGTTTCCCCACACTCTTTTTGCACGATTTGAGGATACACTCGATGCATCAATAAGTATGTTCTTGGAATTGTTCCGTTCAAAGTATTCGAGCTAGCACCACGCCTGTGGTGGGCAAACGTACGGTCGCAAGAACCTGAGAAGTCCTCTACTCAACAGCCTTTCGCTCTTGCATTCCAAGATCCGTACGGAATATCCCGCCGTCAATTGTTCTATTCTAGTTGACTTGCCGTGTAGCCCAGATTCATTGCCCCAACAACGTGAAATCCACCTCGCCAAACCCCGTATCCGCTGGCCGATGCCTCCGTAAGAGCCACCCGTGAGGGCCCGGATACCACACGAGGTTGCAATGTCGGACCCCGACTCCGCGATAAGTCGAGGGATGACGCGGCCGTCCTCGTCCCTCCTACTCGAACGACGTAATCTGTTAACAAAGGGCTCTGATTAGCCCCACCTAGTGCGTGGGCGAGAAAGAGAGAAAGGAGATTGAAATTTACCAAATACTGAGAACTGATAGCAAGAAATGAAGCAGTAGCCGGCTAGCCGCAGGAGATAGACTACATGCTACATCGGTACAACCATTGCTTCTCGGCATTAACAGCATCATGTATGAGCGAAATCCGGTACAGATGAATGTAGAGATTATTAAGTAACAGAGTTACTCTTGATGTTCAGTAGAAGCGCGAGCTTGTGTTATAAGCTCGGCCTCCCGGGTACGAACCTCTAGGCTCCAAACGGTCCCTCGCGCCCCCGTAAAAACGTGCCCGGTCTTCGAACGAATCGTACTGATCGGCATCGTAGGGGCCGTAGGCCTCCCCAACAGTTGCTGAGCTGGGGATCCCACCGAAACCCTGAGGATCCCTTGGCCCCACGCCGCTGTTAGAGTACTTAGCCATCAAGGCCTGCTGATACTGTTGCTGCCGCGCACTCGACTCCCTCCGGAGGAACTCGTCTCTACGGCTAGCATGCCGGGTTCGGAGAGCTGATAATTGTTCTTGATATTGAGCATTGATTGCATTAATTTTCTGGTGAATGGAATGGACAAATATGTAAGTACCGATTACATTAGCAGGAGAATAATTTTAAAATCAAAAGGGAGTATGTTTAAAGAATGCCAAAAGGACCCTCTTATTGCAACTGAACAAAAGCAAAACGAGCTGAATCAAGATAGGAAAGCATAAACTAAAGAAAAGCTAATGCGGCAATTCACAACATAAAGAAATTTCTTAATCTGAAAACAATACTTGAGGAACATCCACAAATCTGTACCTGCCATCCTGTCTCTTGATCTGAAAACAATAACATACTAATAGCTTTCTGTACATTATGCATCAGTCACTACATGATTCAAGCATCAGTTTACAATTTCTTCCGCAGTTAGTACACTCCTCGGTAATGCATGTGCATAGATCTTTGACTTTAGGTAGCTTTTTACAGGGATGATTCACGATGTTAGCAGCAGGATCTAGACCATACTATATCTTTATGAAATCACGGATGTGGCTTTTGTTTCCTTAGTTTAGAAGTTTCCAAGAGTCTACTTTGAAGAAGGGGTAACGCAGCTCCATAGAAAATTAATTATCTATAAGCACGCCAATTTTTTTTGAGGAGTTCATGATAGCAAGTAATCAAAGGTTTCATCTCGTTGAAGAAAGGTAATCTTTTATGAGATAATAAGAACTGGCTAGAAGGCATTTTTCAAACACTGGGAGGTGTTCCCAATAGTTCCGTATTCAATGGCTTCTCGGACAATAAAAAACAGTTAAGTTGTTTTATGAGAAATGGCCAGAAAAACAGAGAAATGGAGTTTCCTGTGCTTTAAGAAAACCCAACACCAGCAGCTAATTTTCAAAATGGTTTTGAATGTTAACACCCCATCCAAAACACTCCTTGGAACCATCAGAAGAAGCTAACGGGTAATCAATGTGAGCTAAAAAAGACCCAACTGACATACTGACATGACTTATAGATTACGAAAGAGTTGCATAGGCTTTATGAACAGGAATTCCACAGCATTGCAGATGAGAACAACATACACTGCAGTTTCTCTCTATGTATGTTAACTACTACAAAAGGACAAGCTCTCGAATGCCCAGGTCACTGTCACTTGACCCAACTTCCCTCTCTCTCTCTCTCTCTCTCTCTCACACACACACACGCGCGCGCGCGCCCGCCTGCCCAACCAACAAACGATGAAGATAAAAAAACAAACCCTCTTCGGCATGTTTACAGAAACAGGAATGATATCCATAAAATAAACAAAAATAGACAGGTAAACACTTCCTCCAAATAAAAAAGTAAACAAGGCTATTGAAGAGACAAGCACTTTAAAGGGCAAGGCCAGCTAACCTCTCTGTGTCTAACATTTTCAGCGTCCTCTGCATCATTCAATTCTTTGGCCAACTTCGTAATGTCATCAAGAAATTTCTGCTCGAGACCTTCAAAAGTCTGAGAAAATGGGACTTTCTCATATCCATGGTCTGCGTCTTTGTTATGGGTCTGGGGTCTCATATCATTGTTGCCTTGCTTCTCCAAAGCAAGTCTTAAATCTGGCTTCTGGCCTTGGTAGTAAGATCTAGACGCATCACCACTCTGACCTGCATCAGTACAAGCATGTTTCACAAGGCATAAGAAGTCCAGAACAGCATCGAAAGGATCCCCATAGTTGACTGATAGCAATATTCAGTTACAATCAAGTCAATTATTCATTAATATTTTTTCATCAGACACTGAAAAGGAACGATAAAAGGTGCATAAAACTCCTTTCAACCATCACAGAGAAAATGATTCATTAGGAAAATGTTTTGAATATGTTTAGCCACAGATACATTAAAAACTTGTTGAAGCATACCTGCCGTTTAAAATATGAATTGCGATGATGTGTGCATATAGTTCAAACACACGAGTTAATAATCAGGGACAAGAAAAAATTTACCAGGTACAACAGCAAAATAACGACAAACGAATCATGTGAAGTGTAATACAGCAGAAGTTGCCGATTACTAGTCTGAAATACTAAAAAACTCGAGTTTCTAGACCTAAAACTCCAGACAAAATCCTTAATAAATGTATTGACTAAAGTTAGAAGGAAGAACTCAACTTAAAGGTCATCAGAACAACCTTTTGCCATAATGCTCAGAAACAAGTTTCTCAAAATTGTGGATAATTAGTAGAACCAAAGACCAATCAGCATCATCAATGGAACTTTGGTGACATATGAATGTGGATGTGTGCATAAATACTGCATGCGAGTGCATGTGTGTGTGTCCACCAAGAGAGAGAGAGAGGAGAGAGAGAGAGAGAGAGAGAGAGAGAGAGAGAGAGAGAGAGAGAGAGAGCTCGCCTTCATAAAGCATATGAGAAGCCAATGCACTTGATGGTTCAGATCCATCTCTTTCCCATCCATGGTGTCCATCTGCTCTAGGAGTAACATATGTATTATCCCTTTCAGGAGTGAAGGCTTCTAGCTCTCCTTGATACTGACCAGAGCTATGATCCATCTGTTGACCGTGCTGCATCTGAGCAGCGACATATGCATCTGCCCCTGCCCCTGCATTTGTATATTGACCCTGCCGTCTCATTCTTGCTACTCGCACAGTAAACACGGCAATATCAGCCTAGACCTGACAAATACAACCATCAAATGAAGTTCGAGGAAATAACAGTAATCTTTAAATATGCTGTCATGACATTAGATCCGGACAAGGTAAACATGATTTCCCAACTGATATATGCGACAATCGCCCATACGCCTGCAAAGAAAAGAACTAAATTCTAGCAAAAAAAGAAGAGAATTTAAGCTTCTAAAGTAGGAGAGGCTGGACCAATCATCACAACATAATCAGAAACAATTGTACATTACAAACCAGTTTTACCCATTACATGGAAGTTGAAAATGAGACAAATCCATGACAGGAAAACAAACGCAAGGTTGTCAGGATCGGGATCCTAGGTTAGGATCCTCGTCAACAAGCTCAACCAATTGAGGCCTAAATAGTAAAAATCTATCCTTCGTTCTCCCGATTACATACATACATAACATCTAAAGGGAGGGATGAAGCTCAAAAGTAGAGCTCTAATTTGAGAAGAGGTAGCCAGGCATGAAATCATATCCAAACATAAAATAAAAATAAAATAAATGGGGTTTCAACAGAAAAAAAATTTCACTGATTCGATCGAATTTTGCATTGCAACTTCTAAGTAGCGGCACTATCGATCTCAGTTACACACTCCGCAGTCCCCACCCACTCCCATTGCCGCAAATACAGATACCACTCTCCCAGCGAAAAAATCGGCACGAATTCAGATTCAAGGACACGGTGAACAATCAGCGGAAGCACGTACCTCCTGACGACGTCTATAAGCTGAGCTCCGACCGGTATTACACGGCGGCGAGAAGAAGAAAGGGATGAGATGAACGAACGCGTTGGAAGTCGTTCTCGCTCTCAGCACCGATCGACCAAGATGAGAAACGAAGAACGAGTCTCCGGCCAGAGAAGAACGAGTCTCCTTCGAATCTTGGGAGCTCCGGAGAAGATGAACACGGGGCAAAATTTTGCACCGAACCTGGAATTTCCGATGCCCTAATTGTAAATGGAGCTGGGCCTTACATGAAGGTGGGTTTGGCCTACAACAAAAGATTAAAAGTATATATGTTCATGAAAATATAGGGAATTCAACAAAAATAAAATGCTTCTTGTCAGATTATTTCTAATTAACAGCATGCCTTGTATCATTACATGGTAAAATATAGCTAACAAATGTATTCGTTTTATTAAAGATGACAAAGAAATTAGTTAAAGGAAAAATCAAGAAGGCCGAGCCAGCTTTAAGCCTTAGAGAGTTTAGGGTTTTATGGTACTTAGGAATATTGCTACAGGTAAAATAGGCAATGTACGCTTGTATTCTAGAGGATTCCTATATTTAATGTGAGCAATCGCTAGTTAGAAAGGATGGGACATCCACCGTTAGATCAAATGGAGATCTAGGGTCGTAATTAGAGAGGCTCATGTATAAATAGAGTGTCCCTCTCCTTATTTGTATCACCACATTCCAACCATTCTAAAACAAGATAAAAGAGTTTCAGAGATTTTTTTTTCCCATTCCTTATACAATAATGCTTTGATAAGCAATTTTGGAAAATTTTGGAACATAGACAAATCATGTATTTTATCACATATGATATAAGGAAGATCACAAGGTGAATATAGAAAGAAATAGTGAGCCAAAAAAATGGATATAGGAAGAAATGAAACAAGTTTCGTGATGGTCTGTCAGGTCTGATACACAATTCCATACTGATATATGAAAAATCGCAATACTAATATAATCTCGGCTATATTATGAACGTAGATGCTCCTAGAGCCTCCTCCATATATCACGAAGTGTAGAATTGAAGCCTGCAAGATACTGCTCCATATATCACGAAGTGTAGAATTGAATTGAAGCATGTGCCTGCAAGATACTGCTCCATATATCACGAATATATCACGAAGTATAGAATTGAAGCCTGCAAGATACTGCTCCATATATCACGAAATTGAAGCCTGCAAGAGAAAATTCTCCATATATCACACACCTAGGAAGATCGTCAGGAGAGAACCCAGTCCGAACCCATCAACATATTTAGTTGGATACACATTCACTCAAAAACTTAAACCATTAAGTTATTGGCCAACTAGGATATATTAACTGCTCAACACCACACCAATTCTTTAATGTGGGACTTCTCTAATACAACTCATACGTGTATCTCAACAATTTTCCCACACTTGTGAACTCAATGTTAGGTGTGTTCCCCTTAATTTAGGTATCATTTTGCACCAATATATCTCAATTTGAATCTCCATCAATGCCCACCATAATACGTAAGATTCTATTGAAAAATGAATCCTAATAATTCATTAGGTGGGATGGCGGAACGAACTAGGGACCAATTCATTTATTCCGAGAATTCATGAGCTAACCCTACAACTAAAATGGATATTGAAAGAGTAAATATTCGCCCACGAAAGTTTTTATTAGATTACTCAATCTTGTTCGATTAAATATGATAATATGATCAAAGATACCGATTAAATATGATACAAGTGTACCGGTTTAGGATTTTTTTTATCAAAAAATTAATTTGGGATAAATTTGTCACACAGTTTATAATTTTTCGTTATATTAACCCATTTTCTTTTAACAAAAAAGCAATCCCTTCAATCAATAGTTAGGATTCACAGCGTAATGAAAACTTTTCGTAAATCATGGTCACTTTTGCTAGCCGAAGGGTCATTCAACCTCTATGAATTAGGCACTAAACTTGAATTATTAAGATTACTTCTTGTAGTTCAATAGATGATTTAGGATCTAGAAGCGCCGCAGTATGAGAGGACCATGGAAGGGCCGCGCCTTCAGTTTACAACGAGCCGAATTAGGCAAAAAAAAGAGCCGAATTAGGCACGGGCAACGAAGCCGGTTCTATCAATCGAACTGGTTGTACTGCTTTGGCACGTTGTGCTTCCTAGCTCGATACAAACTCATTGATGTCATCCACGCGCTTTGAAGAATAAGATCAGTTCGATTTGGTTTGCCTTGGAAGCTAAAACTGAACCGGATACCGAACCAAACTAGCTCAGGTTGAAAAAAAGTAGTGATCACATAGAAGTAAATATGGGCGTCGCACCGAATTGAACTGAATAACAGTAAAAACCACCCTAAACTGCTTAACAGCATATCTTCACTGCCGATATGTCTTTTGGGCCATTATACACTAGCTTTAAAGAATGACAGCATTTGATGCATAACTTCTCTGCTCGCTGCTAAATGCTTCATCTCGGGTCGTGTAGATCCTTTTTGTCTTATGACCAACGAAAGGCGCTGGTGTCCGGAGACAGCTGAAGTTGAAATGACTTATGACATCCAATGCACCGATAAGCCGTCTAGATGCAAACGTATTTTCATTTACGAGGGAGATTCAAAGTACTTTTGAGATATAGAAGAATAGTAAACCAGGAAATACAGTAAACTATGGCGTGGGATCTCATGTTCGGAAAAGAAAATAGTATTTGACCTTTTGAAGTCGCTCAAAGATATGGGTATGGGGGATTTTCAACTGTTGAAGACCAGAGATCCAAATCCTATCCTGAAATCGAAGCTGATGCAGGTTAACGGCCGATTCAGGTCATCCTCCATGGTTATCCTTAAAGTGTACAAGCCCTGCATGTTAATGAGATTCATGAATATGAGCAGCTCGAGATCCTCTTATCTCCAAAAGCTTTAAGGCTTTGTGTGCACTTGAGGAATGGGAACTTTTCAAGTAAAGATGAAAACTGGATTGAGAAAATTCATCATGGGACTCTACACCAGTAAGCTAATGGCAATTCATTAAAAGGCCATCTAGCTCAGCATCTCTCTCTTGAAACATTAATCGCCAGACAAGCCAGAAAAACCACAACACAGATCCTTCGTTGACCATATAGTACTATTTAGCACTAACACCTTGAAAATTTCAATCTGTGACTAACATAATCACATTCGAAAATGGTAATGGACAAGAATTAGCGCATAGTTGTTTGAAACTTACTGGAGGAGTAAAGACGGGCAGACTTTGGGTGTGGGATAGCACAAATTTTCCTGCTGCAATAGGACAGGATATCTCTTCGCAGAGATCATGGGTCTCTGTATGTACTTGAACCCCAAAATATGTAACTCGTATCACCACTTTTCCATTGGAGAGATTTTGACCTTAAAAAAGAAGAGCAACAGGTGTGATGATGGGTACAATGAATAAGCGGAGTGTAGAATTGGATATATGCATAAAATGCATCCCCAAGCACACACATTAATGGCCATTAATCCCCACTAGCACTTTATGAACTATGGTGGTCTCAGATAAGTATATCCCAAGATTACCAATGCGGTTGTACGTGTTGCAGAAGGGGGAGACTGAGTCAGGATCAGTGCGTAATGCGCTATACATGAAAGACTAGAGCAAAGGATTATCATCCTCAATCTAAACCGAGACTGATCAAAGCCTACATTAGATTAGATCATAAACTATGGCCACAAGCCAAATTACAAGTGGGCAACCCACGAACAAGTGATGAAACAAGATGGATCCCACATGAGTAGCAGTAGCAGCAACCAACATGGTTCCATATATTGTATCCACAGGCAACCTCATTCTGTCGTGCCATTAAGCTCTGAAGTAACTACAGTCGTAGTTTTCTTAATGACTTCATGTTAACTAACGGATCTATTTACATGGAAAGGCAAACATAAGATTACACTCTATGCACATGACTAGGCATCACACATGCTATTTCGAATGGACTTTGCTTGTTTTTTGTTATTGGGGTACAGAAAGTATCAGATAGTAAAAATAATCTGAATCTTCAGCCCACAAAAAAAAAGGAAAGAATATTTGTATGATAAGAATGCATTATGGGAAGAAAAAGAAAAACACCTATACCCTCTTCATCGCAAAGCAAGCATCAGGTATTTTTTTAGCAATATGTACTTAACTTGACCAAGGAAGGACCTTCACTTCACAATCTTAAAAAAGAAAAAACAACTTGGCATGTGTTTCCTTTTGGCTTTCACTCATACAAAAACCCTCCAAACAATAGAATCAAAATCAGAAGCAGAGTTGTTCAGACACTACATCTTAATTATCCTTAAAATTGGAGCAGTAACTTCATAATTTCCCAATAAAGAAACACATATCTAAGGGCTGTGAGATGCAGGGGACTAGTATCATATGCAAATGATGGGTGAGAACAAGAAGCGAGGAGAAAACCAACAAAATGATCGAACAGCGAAGTCAGCAGTCATCAAGCTCCTAGCCCACATGAACACAGAACAACAGTCCAATAACAGTATAGTAGAACCGAGATTTTCCCATTCTACAGGAGGATAGAAGAGACTGATTCATTCTTAATGTGAAGAGTACATAACTACAAGACCTTTAAAAAGTAGTACCTGTAGAAGCAGAGATGTCGAAGGTGGTCGGCTTGCCTGGAACCACTGGGTTCGGCGATATCTGGACATCGCTCACCTTCACGACATAGTCCCCAGAATTCTCTGCATTCACAAACCAGAAGAAAGCAGAAAAAGGAATCGCTTCTCATAATTGCTAAAACAATTCAATTACAACCCGGTAGGACACGATCATATATACGCCCATCAATCATCAAGAACACCAAAAAGAGAATGAACATAATTAAGACCGACGAAGACTGACCACAATACTTGATGTTGGTGGCACACACGAGAGGCAAGAGGAGAGCGAACGCGAGCATACGCAGCGACCCCATTTCTTGATTTCTACGAAAAGGAGCGATCTTGGTGATTAAAAGAGAGACCTTTTCCAGTGGAGAGAAACGGGTGGGTGAGTGAAGTTGATCGAGGATGGACACCCTTGAGCAGACATCGATCGCTTGTTGCCCGGATGAAAAAAGATGAAAAGAATCCGACAAGCGTGAGAGGTAGACGCGAGACGCTTGTCGTGTTCTGCTTCGCGACGGGATTTTTTTCTGTCTGTACAGAGGTTGTAATGATGATGAGTAACTTGGAGAACGACTATCAATCTAAACCAATTATTGAACGACTTCATGCCCTCGTTCTTGTCCCTTTTGTCTTTCACGCGCCCAGAGAGCCTTGGCCATACGGCACTTTAAATCCTGTGGTAGGTGCTGAGAAGATACTGTGTAGACGTTTTATGAATGATACCATGAAATCACACTGCAAAAACCATGTGAATTGTGAATCCCATGACCTTTCGAAATGTAATTGATTTGATTAGGTGGATCTAACGGGTATGTTGGGATGTGATCCACATCTGGCCTTGGGCGAAATTCAAAATAGTATTAGTTGATACAACCATTGACGTCTCACTCATGTACTGCGTATCGAGATTTCACTCAGAAAAATTGAATCAAAAGGAGGTCGGCCAGAGGAGTAAACCGGGCAGGAAATGGCGAGTGCAATGGAACATGGAGTCACAAGGAAAAATTCTTGAACTGTAAATAGTTGGTTGCCCGTTGTGGAGAATCAATTGGCTGGAACTCACAACTAGAAGCAAGTCAATTTTGGAAGTCGATCAAGGAATAACAATGATTTGTTTTATTGACTCGGAGCAATTTGAAAAAGCTGCCAATCGAGACTTTGGACTTGGGAGTTTCGTAGAATAAGAAGGGATTGAGAAGAACCAAGAAAGCACGACTATATGAATTTGTCACTCGAGTTAAGAAATACAGTATCACTTCATCCACCAAGATGAGAAATACGGAGTCCAAATGCAGGGGGCAGAAGCCGCTGCACATCACTATTCCCAATAGACTACATAAGACCCAGAGTACCTACTGTCATAACATTCATCGCCCATTACACCAAAAAATTATGACCTCCGGGAGTCATTAAGAAACCTTGCGACCGCCACCATATTACTGCTGGGCGCATTGCACGCGTTGGGCGCCGCTGGGCATATCCTCATCCTCGTCGTATGCTTCGGCCTGCGCTTGTTGCTTCCTCCGCATCTCCTCTTCCATGTTGACATCGTGCAGTGTCGTCTCCTCGCACTCGTCCAACTCCATCTCGGTCAGCTGTGATGCCGGCTTCTGCGGCAGCACCCTCTGCAGAGCCTCGACCTGCTCAGGGCTGAGAGACTCTGGGAAGTCCACGGTGAAGTGAATGTAGAGCTTCCCCTTCATGAAGGGCCTTTGGTACATCGGCATACCCTCGTCATTAATAGCCTTGAAAGAATCTGCAAGCGCGAAAATGCAAAATTTAGCATTAAAAGGACAGCAACTTAGGGTAAAACATAGCCCATATCTTTGTATGTATCATTTGCATACCAGGCTTGACGACTTCCCCGGCGTTCGACTTAATAAGAAGCTGCCTGCCATCCAGGTGAGTCAATACAAACTGGAAGCCACATAGAGCCTCGGTGAGAGAAAGGGTGTGCTCCACGAAGAGATCCTCGCCTTTTCTCTTAAATTTAGGATGCTCCTTTTGTTGGAGGATGAAAACAATGTCTCCTGTAACTGTATCCGGCTGCATAGAAGCAAGAAACAGAAAGTCCAATCAACAATATTATTCAAATTGTTAAACCGAGCCACTTATGAGACTATGGAGTTGCAAATTAACATTCATCTAATACATACAGCTTCATCTGCTTCACCAGGGAATGTAATCTTCTGTCCATTCTGCATACCCTTCTCAACCACGACTTCCAACACCTTCTTTTCCGGGACAACCTTATCTCCTTTGCACTGGGGGCAGCGATCCTTATCATTAATGGTCTCTCCTGTGCCCTTACAGTCATTGCAATGTTGCTGCATCTGCTGGATCATGGACGGGCCCAACTGCCTAATAGTCACTTTCACACCAGTCCCTTGGCAACCAGGACATGTCATAGACGCACCAGACTTCGATCCTTTCCTGTAAATGATATCCGTAAGCAACCCCACATGACCTCGAAGCATGCCAAAAGGTAGTTAAACAAACATTGCGATGCGACACTCACCCATTGCATTTTGAACATAACACATTCCTAGAGAGAGATAGCTTCTTTGTAGTCCCGAGATAGAGATCTTCCAGAGACGCCTTCAAGGGATGAACCACATCCTCCCCTCTCCTCTGTCTTCGTCCTCGGCTGCTTCCACCTGTTTACATGGAAAAACGCACCATTTAAGCACCTACAATCGACAAGACTCCCCACTAAACAGGCATTACCCACTAAAACACGCACGCATCAACCGGTCCTAAGGAGCAAGTCAGTGTACCTCCAAATCCACTTCCACCACCAAAGAAGGACGAGAAAATGTCGAATGGGTCGTGCCCACCTCCGCCCCCGGCCATTCCCTCCTTGAGGGCATCTTCACCATATTGGTCGTATATCTCCCGCTTCTCGGGATCGCTCAAAACCTCATATGCCTGCGCAAGCTCCTTGAACTGCAGCGAAAACATAAGGCATCAAGCTTTACTTCAACAAAGGAACAAATGACCACTCAAGACACAGCTCCCCATATTCCTTCCACTCGACGACCGCATAATCATATTCCGTCTCAGTAACAAGTACTGCTTCAAGACACTTTAATCACGCCATGAGCAATTCACCAACCAAACAAGCTCCTCAAACAAGTTCTCCGCAAATTTCGCCGAGATATCTTGTGGGGGGAAAAGAAGCAAAACGCAAATTTCAAACCTTTACTTGAACGACCCGCTTAATTCGATCCCGGTTCTACACTAATTCTTCAGAACTCCCAATATGCCTAATATGAACGCATTAAATATACTCAATTGAAATCCCAACCCCCTCCTAACCCATCCAACCACATAACCTCGCCGGAACCGACCAAAACCCCGCCGCCGGCGACGGCGGAAGGAAGGAAGGTGACGGTGACGGTGACGGGGACGGGAACACAGATTCGGGGCGGTACCTTCTCGGGATCGCCCCCCTTGTCCGGGTGGTTCTTGATGGCGGCCTTCCGGTACGCCTTCTTCAGGTCGTCCTGGGAGGCGTGCTTCGAGACCCCCAGGACCTCGTAGTACCGCGTGTTGTCGCTCTTCTTCGGCGCCCGCCCGAACATCTTCTCCTCCCCCCCACTCCCCTCGGTCGGTCGGTCGGTCGGTCGGAGGAACAACAGAAGAATCCCGGATCGACGATCGGTGAACGGTTGCCGGCGCCGGCGGAATCGACGAGACGATGAAGGGTCGTGCGATTTGTGGCTGTGGAGGGAGACGAGGCGGAAAGCTTACGCTTTATAGGAGGAGCGCGGGGAAGGGAGGGGAGGGGAGAGGAGGGGAGGGGTTGCTTCGTGGGGGTTGCTGGGAACGGACGGTGGAGATTTCGCGCGCCCCGCCCCCCTTCGTCGTGGAGTTGACCCCCCCGGGAAGACTCTAGAATTGTTCAAGAACCTTCGCGCGGGCAGGAACTGAAGTAATCATATTCCCTTTCCTAATTCGAAGTCACTCGAAACTAGGGGAAATAATAATAGGGATTTCTTAAGGGTTATTTTAATAAAATAAAAAAAAATCAAAATCGGTATATCCGTGGCAAACTTATCACTAGAAAAATTGCAAACTGCTACGCACGCGATAAGTTTAACACAAACTAATTGTTTTAATACCAAAAAAAAACTTAAGGGTTAATACCACGAAAAACCCAAAACTAGTATACTTGTGACAAAATTTGCTCTAAACTAATTTTTTTACCACAAAAATCTAAAAACTGGTATATTTGTGACAAATTTACCCTCTTTTGAAAATTATTTAAAAAAAAAAACCAAAAATCACGAACTTCTACACATGTGATAAGCAGAGGCTAAAACGCCAAACTAGTACACCTGTCAATTACCACGTGTCATCCAACTCGTAAAATTTAACGGAAACTAACGGAGGGTAAAATTATCACAGGTATTCCAGTTTTGGGTTTTTCGCAGTTTGGGGTAAATTTTTCACGGGTGTACCGATTTGGAGTTTTTCGTGGTATTAACCTAAACGCTAAACTGGTACATATGTGACAAATTTAACCTTAGTTAGTTTTCGTTAAATTGGATTAATACTACGAAAAATCACAAACTGGTACACTCGTGATAAACGGAGGGTAAAATCCCATATTAGTATATTCGTTAGCTGCCACATATCTTCTAACTCAGCAATTTTGATAATAAAATTTAATGGAAATTAACAGAAGATAAATTTGTCACAGGTATACCGATTTAGGATTTTTTGTAATAAAAAATTAGTCTTTGGTAACTTTGGCATATGTATACCAGTAATTTTGGATTTTTCTTGGTATTAACCAATTTCTTAACATAAACTCCGCTAATGATAATGCGCTCGCAAAATTCGCTAATGTAAAATCAACACGGGACGTGTTCTAATAACTTGATCTTAAAATAATTTCACGTGTACGAAAATATCTCTCTTTAAAAGAGTTATGCAAAATTAAAAGAAAACGGAATACTGGCCTTGAAGCTTACGACATTTGGCTCGCGCCTATACCTTGCGTACCCTAGTCCCGCTACCATCGATCGTTCGAGCCCATGCCCCCTGCCTTTCTCTTTGGAAAAGGCTTTTATAGCATGTGTCGTTCCCTTGTTTCTTAAAGACAAGCTCCTAAATTTCGCGATTTCACGTTGAGTTGTCAAACTTCATGTCTGTCTTTTCCCTATATCGGTATGTGAGTAATCTCTCGAAATGTATAAAAATCGCCCGATTCATGTGCATCGGATAAGATAGATCCAAAGTACAGCAAAAAAAAAAAAGACTATTTATTTTATTGATTATTTCAAACGAAAGACGACTTGATTTGAGTCTATCATATCATATCCTATTTGTGAATAGATATTACATGCTCGAGTCGTTGGATTTAGCGAAGTCCATCAGAATCTAACGTGTAATTCATACTCGGTGTCTATCTTCAAATTTACTAAGTCGTTCTTACCATTTTCACGGTTCCTTAAAAAAATAAGTGATTTTCATGTGTAGCTATCCTATTCCCATTTTAGGGAGAAACTTATGGTGCGAATGATAAAATTTATCTTCCTCAGGCCTATTCCTGGCTAGAAATAGAAAACTCTGAGTAAAATAACGATACAAATTTTCTATTTCTGGAATAGAAATTCGTTTGATTGATTATTTTTAAATTTTTTATCCTAGCCGGCGGTGGCGAATGGTTGGCGGGCGAGCGGTGGTGGGCGGCCAGCGGGCGGGGAGTGGTGGGCGGGCGGCGGATGGTCAGCAAGTGGGCGGCGAGGGCAAACAATAAAAGAGAGTTGTTATTTCTGTTTTCATTCCTGAATTAAAAAAGTAGAAAATTTTAATTTCTGATTTCTATTCCAAACCTATTTTTGGACTAAAAATTTGTCTCGGAAATAGAAAAATGAAATTATTTTACCAAACGGATTTATGTTCGAAACCTGTTTCCGGGAACAAAAAAGAAAAAGAAAAACAGGAAACATAATGGTTAGCATTGGCGCCCTTATTGTGTTACCAAACAGTTGCTCGCACTTCCATTTGAGTGGGTAATCGTCC